CTCCTTTTTTCTTCTTTTTCTTCCTCTCCTCTCTTGGTTGCTGAATAATGGTAACTGCATCCCTTCTCTTTCTCTCTTTCTCTCTCTCTCTTCCTACACTAATCTCATTCTCTCTCTTCACACAGCCCACTTTTTTTATAAGGAGGAGCGAGAGGAGTCCTGCACGACCTTTCTTCCTCAGCATGCAGGTCCCATTTTCTTCTTTTTCGACCAGTGTGCCTCTGCCTCTTTCATCTTCCCCGACCAGAGATAAACACGCCTCTGGTCTTTTTTTTCTTTTTCCAAAATAGAGCTATTTTGGAGTTTCCCAAAATGGACATTGTTTTAGTCTATTACACTGGAACATCGCACGCGCCTCTATTCGCCGCCACGCGCCTCCACGCGCTATCATGGGCGTGGCCATCGGAGTTGTCACGCACCGCCGCCGTCTGCCACTTGTCATCGTTGGAAATTACCAAACAAATGGATCTAGTAAAAACGCGTTGAAAAACTGCTAAGAACACTGTAAATCAGACCTCGCACACCGGGCACCGCCGCGTTGGTTTGTCTTCTTTGGCATGCATTCTCTCTCACCGGCTTTGGTTTCGCGCGTAGACAAGCTTAGACAATGCGGAGCCGCCTTTGGTTTCTCTTCTCCAGCCCTCCTATTCAAGCAAATTAGTTTTTTTTGTTGTGAGCCGCCGCACATTCAAACTTTTCTGTTTCAGATCTGGTTTTGACAGTCGCCACTCGCGCAAACTAGCTTTCTCCCTCACGATCTAGTCGAACATATATGAATACGGACCATTTCGTCTCTTTAAGCTGCGTCGTTCGCTGTTTGACCTCTCCGTGCGGTTCACCTTCTTCAGGTCGTAGTGAACACACAGAAAAATAAATAAATTTAATTTTTCTTTCTTTACTGACTAATCTACTTTTTCTAACTTAGTTCAAACCTGAGCTCTGATACTGCTTGTTGGGAAAAATTAATCCCTGAAATATGCACAATCACACCAAAATAAAAACAAGAAAAAAAAAAGAATATAAGAATTTTACGTGGTTTGATAGTGTGCTTACATTCACGGATAAGACCGATAAGAAAGAATTTCACTATATAATTTGCGAGTATATCACTATTAGGTTAACAAATTTATTTATAGAGAGATTAGTAAATTTTTTTCATAAATTAAAACTCTTTAGGATATATATCAAATATTTTTCAAAATAAATACAAAGAAAATTTATATAAATTATCCCTCGTAATATAAATAAATAACCAAAATAAAAAATACATCAACACATATACAATTAGGAACATCTAATTTTTGTTAAATGTTTCCACGGCAAAGGTACAAATAAGATTTGATGTAAGTTTTCATGAAAATTATTTAACTACTATTTAGTGACTAAAACAAAAGATTGATTAGTTCTATTTCAATACCTTACTAGTTTATATATTGGTATAACTAATCCTCGTTAGGCTTTAAAAAAAGTGATGTGATATATTTATTTTCATATTTGGCACCTCAAATTCTTGTCTAATTATTCTAAAAAAATCTTATCTAATCGCGCACTTAATTAGTTATGTAATTAAGTTTAACGTAACTGAAGCACTGAATCTACCTAAACAAAAAGTGAATAAAAAAGAAGATAAATTCATTTTTATTTTTGGGGGGTTAAATATAAAAATAAAATGGTAGTTAATTAATTTATCATGTTTGTCCACATCAATTTCACATTTTTGTGTTCACTGGTGAGAAGAAAGGGAAGGTGGGAATCTAAATATTGAAAGAATTAATTGAAAATTATTTTTTTATAGAAGTAGGAAAAGTAAGACTCTAAATTAACAAGAGAATAAAAAAATAAAGTGGGTATCTAAAATTTTATACACAGAGGATAAGAAATAAGCTTTTGTTGTCACATGGCATATGCCCTACACGCCCAACAGCGGCCAAAACAGAGCGAGAGAGAGAGACATATGTAATGTACTTATATATATATATATATATATATATCTTTTAGATTTTCTTTATTTTTTGTTTTTAATTATTATTATTTTGATAATTATTAAAATAAAAAAATAAGTTTGACATATTTATCTTTATGTTTATATATATATATATATATATATATAACGCTTTGATAGATACACATTTTTAGGTCTTTCTCTTTCTCTTTCTCTGTCTCTCTCTCATGTATTCGCCCTTTTCTCTCTCCTCTCTCTTTCGTTCTCTCTCTTAGGTTTCTCTCTCCTCTCTCATCTTCTCTCAGGTTTCTCTCTCCTCTCTCCTCTCTCATCCCCTCTCTCTCTCTCTCTCTCTCTCTCTCTCTCTCTCTCTCTCTCCCCCCAGAAGGGCAAAACCTTAAAGTCCCGTTTACACCCCCAAGTAAGTTTTCTCTCTCCTCTCTCTCTCTTTCTCTTTCTAAAATTTGAATATATGGGGTCCTTGTACTATTCGGCCTTCCCATTCGCTTATAAACATATGTGCACTCGCAGGTGTTGTTGTGAATGTTAATCTTGTAATATTTTATTTGCTATTTCTCATCTTGTTGTGTAGATCTGCATTTACGGGTTGCAGATTTTGAAACCCTAATTTGGTTAAATGTTTTACTTTTGGGGAACTGGAATTAATAGATCTGGAACTAGGGTTTTAGTTGGGATCTGTTTGGTTTCTGAAAATTTGTACCTTTTCTAGAAAAAAGATCGTTTGTTTTGATTGCAAACTCAAAATTTTCTATTTTCGTTTATTAGTGTGTTAAAATTTTCCCCCATTTAGTTTCCGGTTCTTAATTTTTTCCCCATATCTTAGATCCGGTTGAAATGAAGGTGTTTGGATTGATTGAGATAGGGTTTTCATTTTTTGATAAAAATGTCATGGGTAATTCGATTCGACATTTGGTTTTCTCATCTTCTCTTTTCTATGTTTCCGACCGGAAACTTAAGCATTGTTTGGCAAATTGCTCAACCATTTTTGGGCCTATTTTCCTGGGTGCAATGTGGTTTTCTTTGTTGGAGGGTTATATCTGATCGGATCTGTGTATTTGAGAAGCATTTTGTTAAAGATTTACCTTTGCTGCTTGTTGACGTGTTTAATGCGTTATCTTTAAGAACTTTGCTTTGTTCATACGCTTGGTTTTCGTCTTCACTTTTCATCTCCACTTTCTTAGTCTTTGTGAACTGTTTGGTAACCGAATGATTGAAGACGGATTGCTATGTCATTAGTGGGTAGGTTTAGACCGTAAGAGAAGCTTAACGTTTCTGCCATTGTTGTTGCATTCTGTAGTTCTCATGGATGATGATGCATTGAACATCCGCAATTGGGGTTACTATGAGCCCTCCTCATTTAAGGGGAACTTGGGTCTGCAGCTCATGTCTAACATGGCAGAGCGGAATACCAAGCCCTTTTTACCTGGTAGAGATCCCAGTCTCATGGTTGGTGGCAATGGGACATTCCATCCCCGTGATTGCGTTGTTTCTGAAACTCCTATGCCTATGAATTATGCTTGGATAAACCAGCATAGAGACAAGTTTTTTAACATGATCCCGGGCAATACTACCAATTATAATGTCCTTCCAGAGACTTCCAGTGCTCAATCCATGCAGATTTTGCAGCCACCACCCAGTTCATCAAGGGACGAGAGGGCGGTGGGTAGAATTGAAGAACCTGTTCCTAATAAGGAGGGTGCTCAGTCGAAGAAAAGACAGAGTAGTGGTGCACCCAAAACCCCAAAAGCAAAGAAGCCTAGGAAGCCAAAAGATAATAACAATCCTACAGTTCAACGTGTGAAGCCAGTGAAGAAGAGTATGGATGTTGTAATAAATGGGATTGATATGGACATTTCTGGGATCCCAATTCCAGTTTGCTCTTGCACTGGAACTCCACAGCAATGTTATCGATGGGGCTGTGGTGGTTGGCAATCTGCTTGTTGTACTACTAATGTGTCAATGTATCCATTGCCAATGAGCACCAAGAGACGCGGTGCAAGAATAGCTGGACGGAAGATGAGCCAAGGTGCATTCAAGAAGGTGTTGGAGAAACTGGCTGCTGAAGGTTATAACTTTGCTAACCCAATTGATTTGAGGACTCACTGGGCTAGGCACGGTACCAACAAGTTTGTCACTATCAGAGTGGTTCACTGTTGTTGATTCTCATCATGAGA